AATACAACTTATTATATGTATTATGTATTCACCAAATTGTATTTTCAATAACAACTTACTTTACAATTAATTTGTATTTATTTATTATATAGATTTCAAAGTTGTATTTTGTGTGTGTAATTGAACTATAATGTCAAAAGAGTTGTATTCATTATTAATCAGTACCAACGTTTTTTTTATATCTGATTATGTAAACCTTAGTTTATGTCGAACTATCGTGAATTCCGTTGAACTGTATACTTTGTAGTAGTGAATTTTCTAAACCTTAGTTTCAAACATATGTCGAATACAAAGCGAAGAAGATTGGATGAGATCAGTGTAATGATTCGTAAGGAAAAATATTGTTTTCAAAAACTGGAATTTTTAAGCAACAGAGGAAAAAAAACGTTCAGCCAAATAGTGGCGACATATGCTCCTTCAATATGTAACTGATTTTAAATTTAAATTGTTTTTAATTTTTCTTAAATATTTTGTCTCATGATTTTCTATTGTTTAATATTTGTATTCTTTCATATTAATCAAAATAAAAAAAAAATACATAAATCAGAACTTAAAAAACTAAAATATTGACATTTTAAATAAATAGTGAAACTATTGCTAAGGGGTCCCATAAGAAGCTAAAATATTAGTACTATTTTGAAAAAATTTCCTTTTAATATCTCCAATTTTAACTCAACTTACTACATCAATACAATTGAAATGTATGTTCTACTCCCTAGGGGTAATAGGCGTTTAGCTTAAAAAGGTTTAAATAAAATGCTCGATTTTGGTCAGGAGGGAGGGGTTGTTCAGGTTGCAATGGGGAGCAAAAAGGTGAAAAGTTCGTAGATCTTTTTTTTTTGGTAGCTTAATGTAGGTTTGATTTTTTTTTATTTTTTTTTGGTTCATATCTTATATTATTAAGTGTATTTATTTTCATTAAAATTCAAATACTTGTTTGGTCTGAGCAAATTTTAAAACTTGTTTGCATTGACGGAATGACTTATTTTGTTATTTTAACTTAAAAAGTAAGTATTTTATTTTATTATATTAATCGAACACTACAAAACTATTCTAAAAGTAAATAAAATAAATAAATTTAAACATGCTTTTTAATCATTATGATTTTGAGCAGTGTCTTAATACCATTACGATTTATTTTTGCATGATTAATTTTCATCACTACACATTGTCCACAATCACAGATCACCATCATAAACCACCTTAGCCATAATAACCATCATCACTATTATTGTCGCCAACCACTAATCATTCACTTATGTTATTACAATCGTCATCATAAATACTATCGTTGTTAATTATTACTGTCATCACCTCTATGATTATAATTATATCTGTTGTCATCACCCCCATCATTGTCAACCACCATTATCATCATCAATCATTAACCACATATGTCATCACAATCATTACTAACAACCACTCAATGTCAATCATTACCATATTTATCATCTCCATCATTTTATTTATAACTATAAATTTTAGATTTTATAAAATTCAACATAGCTTATAGTATAATATTTGGTTAGTTTTTCCCCCCAATATAGAGACATTATTTTATTTTTCTATTTTTTTTTATATAGAAAGGTGAAGAGCAAGGACGACCAAGACGATCAATGGCAAAATGATAATTAATGTATGAGATAGTGGCAAAAATATAATTTAGTGGATATAATCAATTTCTTGTTTTGACTTTTATTCCCACACATTCAACATTGTTCTAGAAGCTCTCATTTCACCTCTTTTTAGGTAGTTGCCAGGCTATTAACAATTTTTGTTTTAAATTAAAAAAAATAAAAATAAGAATAGTAAAAAGAGAAGACCCAACGTCAATTTTTGTTTTAAATTAAAATAAAATAAAATAAGAATAGTAGAAACAGAAGACCCAAAGTCAATTTTTGTTTTAAATTAAAAAAATAAAATAGGAATAGTATCTATTTTTTCTATTTCTACTATATGCCAAGTATGGACGACCAAGGGCATAATTGTAATTTCACAGCTAACATTGTGGCCAGATATTTTGAAAAGCCAAGCCAAGTATGGACAACCAAGAGCATAATGGTAATTTTATAGCTAACATTGTGGCCATATATTTTGACTTTTCTCATTACCATTACAATTCTAGCTATTTCTATTATATAGAAAGGTGAAGAGCAAGGACGACCAAGACGACCAATGGCAAAATGGTAATTAATGTATGAGATAGTGGCAAAAATATAATTTAGTGGATATAATCAATTTCTTGTTTTGACTTTTATTCCCACACATTCAACATTGTTCTAGAAGCTCTCATTTCACCTCTTTTTAGGTAGTTGCCAGACAATTAACAATTTTTGTTTTAAATTAAAAAAATAAAGTAAGAATAGTAGAAAGAGAAGACCCAAAGTCAATTTTTGTTTTAAATTAAAAAATAAATAAATTGTAACATCCGACAATTTGAAATAGCTAAGAAGAGGCTTAGAATTTGAAATTTTTCATTTTTGGAAAGGATTTGAAAATCTGGAAAATTTGGCTAAGTATGGAAATCAGTGATTTTTGGCCAACTTTGAGCAGTCATAACTTCCATCTCAGGATGAGTTAGAAGTAGTTCCAGTTATGGTTGTGAAGCTTGTGGAATGATCTTTCCAACGCCGCCGAGTTTTCTCAATTCCGAGTTCGTATGAGCGAATTATGGCCCTTCAAAGTTGGGCAGTTGACAAGGAAATCCGTCCGGGAATCATTAAGGGCATTTTGGTCTTTTCCCTAGCTATTTCTTTTGAGGATGTATTGTTGTGTTAGGTTGATAATTGGATAATTTTTGTTCCATTCTAAGAGAGAGTGAAGGCTAGGGCTTGAGAAGAAGAGAAGAAGAGGAGAAGAAGAAGAGGAAAAATCGAGGAGATCAACAAGTTTCCGACAAGATCATCGTGGATTTTCGTCGGGGGTGATCCCTACCAAGGTATGTGAGCTTTTAGTGTTGGGTGATCCTTTCCCCCACACACCTAGCCCTTTTATTTATTGAGGAAGGATTGGATTCGTTGTTGGAATTGTTGTTAAGGTTGTTAATGTTTGAAGTTGATAGTTGTATTGTT